GAGAAAGTCATGAAATGTGCTGAAGTGCTGCGTCCCGACATCAACTGCCATTTTTTATTGTTTTCACTATCCTGTGCAGCATCTCCTGCTTTCTGTCTCCATACACTCCAGAGATGGCCGCGTGGCATTTGTCAGGGTGGGGTTCCTGATGGTGACAACAGTGTGCCATGTCTGTGTCATGGGTGTGAAAGTGGCCACTTGTAGTCCCCATCAGAGGGGTGACAACACAGGAGCATAGTTAGAAGATAGGACAGGGTGTTGTCACCCTAGAACAGGAAAATCCTGAACGAGGTTCTTCATAGAAGGATCATCAAGGGGTTGTTTTTATAGAACCTGCGGATTTAGAAAGATTGCAAATAGAAATACATGAAGGCCATTCTAGAGCGATATCAGTGATCGGGGTCACAAGCGACTCTGTGGGGGAGCGTGGACTGGGAGCTGTGACCCCGTTCATTGCCCAGACTTTTCCGATTACTCGGGACAACAAAGATTTAGCTTCATGAACAGTTTTTGGTGTTAGTGGAAAATATGGAAAGATGGTTGAAGCATCCAGTACACCGAGTACAACGGGAATATCTGTGGAGGTCTAGAAGTGTCTCTGCCGCGTGGAATACGGATCGGGTCCCCCGAGTACAACGGGAATATCTGTGGAGGTCTAGTAGTGTCTCTGCTGTGTGGAATACGGATCGGGTACAACGGGAATATCTGTGGAGGTCTAGAAGTGTCTCTGCCGCGTGGAATACGGATCGGGTCCCCCGAGTACAACGGGAATATCTGTGGAGGTCTAAAGTGTATCTGCTGCGTGGAATACGGATCGGGTACAACGGTGATATCTGTGGAGGTCTAGAAGTGTCTCTGCCGCGTGGAATACGGATCGGGTCCCCCGAGTACAACAGGAATATCTGTGGAGGTCTAGTAGTGTCTCTGCCGCGTGGAATACGGATCGGGTACCCGAGTACAACAGGAATATCTGTGGAGGTCTAGAAGTGTCTCTGCCTGTGTGGAATACGGATCGGGTCGGGTACAACGGGAATATCTGTGGAGGTCTAGTAGTGTCTATGCCGCGTGGAATACGGATCAGGTACGCCGAGTACAACGGGAATATCTGTGGAGGTCTAGAAGTGTCTCTGCCGCGTGGAATAATACGGATCGGGTACGCCGAGTACAACGGGAATATCTGTCGAGGTCTAGTAGTGTCTCTGCTGCGTGGAATACGGATCGGGTCCCCCGAGTACGACGGGAATATCTGAGGAGGTCTAGTAGTGTCTCTGCTGCGTGGAATACGGATCGGGACCCTCGAGTACAACGGGAATATCTGTGGAATACGGATGGGGAGTGAGGTGCCAAACCACCAATAGTGCAGCAAATGTTATTAAATTAAAAAAAGGGTATAAAATGCAATAATTACTCACAGACGTCGCTGAGCGTTGAATGGAGACATCAGTCCAGAGTTCAGTCCACATCACTGTCAGCAGCAGAACACGTTTCGCTCTGATGAAGTTGGATGCAGCGCACCAGACACATTGTGAGATAAATACGTTATAATTGTTATTTCTTAAGATTCTTACGAGATACAGTCATCCTGGCGGGAGATTTGTATTCAGTTTGAAGGATCCATCATCATCTCCAAAAGTGTTTCATAAACCAGAACGTTTGAAGAAATGTCTTGTCCGGCGTTATCACTCGGCATAGCGGCACAATGGATTTGGTGAGAACATTATTCTGGAGGATGTAAAACTGATCCTTCCTGCCTTGTATCCATGGTTCTGGCTGGTGGTGTCAGAGTGGTGTGGGGGATCCATCCTGCCTTGTATCAATGGTTCAGGCTGGTGGTGGTGTCATGGTGTGGGGGATCCATCCTGCCTTGTATCAGTGGTTCAGGCTGGTGGTGGTGTCATGGTGTGGGGGATCCATCCTGCCTTGTATCAATGGTTCAGGCTGGTGGTGGTGTCATGGTGTGGGGGATCCATCCTGCCTTGTATCCATGGTTCAGGCTGGTGGTGGTGTCATGGTGTGGGGGATCCATCCTGCCTTGTATCAGTGGTTCAGGCTGGTGTGATGTGTCATGGTGTGGGGGATCCATCCTGCCTTGTATCAATGGTTCAGGCTGGTGGTGTGGTGTCATGGTGTGGTGGGATCCATCCTGCCTTGTATCAATGGTTCAGGCTGGTGGTGGTGTGTCATGGTGTGGGGGATCCATCCTGCCTTGTATCAATGGTTCAGGCTGGTGGTGGTGGTGTCATGGTGTGGGGGATCCATCCTGCCTTGTATCAATGGTTCAGGCTGGTGGTGGTGGTGTCATGGTGTGGGGGATCCATCCTGCCTTGTATCAATGGTTCAGGCTGGTGGTGGTGTCATGGTGTGGGGGATCCATCCTGCCTTGTATCAGTGGTTCAGGCTGGTGGTGGTGTCATGGTGTGGGGGATCCATCCTGCCTTGTATCAATGGTTCAGGCTGGTGGTGGTGGTGTCATGGTGTGGGGGATCCATCCTGCCTTGTATCCATGGTTCAGGCTGGTGGTGGTGTCATGGTGTGGGGGATCCATCCTGCCTTGTATCAGTGGTTCAGGCTGGTGGTGTCATGGTGTGGGGGATCCATCCTGCCTTGTATCAATGGTTCAGGCTGGTGGTGGTGGTGTCATGGTGTGGGGGATCCATCCTGCCTTGTATCAATGGTTCAGGCTGGTGGTGTCATGGTGTGGGGGATCCATCCTGCCTTGTATCAATGGTTCAGGCTGGTGGTGGGTGGTGTCATGGTGTGGGGGATCCATCCTGCCTTGTATCAGTGGTTCAGGCTGGTGGTGTCATGGTGTGGGGGAGATTTTCTTGGCACACTTTGGGCCCCTTAGTACCAATTGAGCATTGTTTAAACACCACAACCTCCATGTCCACCCCTCTATGACCCCAGTGTCTCCATCTTCTGAAGGCTCCTCCCAGCAGGATATTGCTCCATGTCACAAAGCTCCAATCATCTCCAACTGGTTTCTGGAACATGACAATGAGGTCACTGGACTCCAATGGCCTCCACAGTCACCAGATCTCCATCCAATAGAGCACCTTTGGGATGTGGTGGAACGGGAGATTCCCATCATGGATGTGCAGCCGACAAATCTGCAGCAACTGCGTGACGCCATCATGTCACTATGGAGGGGAGGGGGAGGGGTAAGTGAGATTTCCTGGTACCTGGGGCAATAAATGGACATTTAACCCTTCTAGTGCCAGGGAACACCCACCTTAGGTCTATTTTTGACTCATTATTGCTGCGTAGATCTTGGCCCAATCTCATACGATTTAACCCGTCACTGGAGATTGGGCCGGAGGTCGCGCTGGACTGTCTGGGTCGGTACCTAGTTGTGTGTCGGTGGCTTGGTAGGCAGTGAGGAAGAAGTCACTTGGGTTTAGCCCAATGGTGGGTGGTAGTGGTGGACCCCCTTGGGGGTGGGGCCTTCCTGGTATGACCGTGCGGTCGCGGTCGTTTCGGTGAGAAGACTTGGGTGAGGGAAGGAGTGCTCGGTGTCCACAGATATCCAAGTCTTGGTGTAGAGTCTACAGAAGGTTTATTAGAAGGAACATCGACACCAGTCCATCGCATTTCGGGGTAATGGACCCCCCCTTCTTCATGCCTGCCTCCGCCTCATCACCAGCTCGGAATGTAGAATCCCCTCCAGAACCCTCCCCCACCCATTAATAGGCCCTCACAGCCCTGAAGAAGGGGGAGTCCGTCCCCCCGAAATGCGTTGGCTGGATGTACATGTTCTTCCCTCTCAATAACCGTTCTGTGAGCCCTACACCAAGAGTTGCGTTCTTCTGGACGCGCGCGCTCCTCCTTCCTTTTCACCCAACTCTTCTCGTGTTAATGTCAATTTTTTTTTAATTTTCATGAAATGATTGATTGGTGATCCGCCATGTTCAGGCACTTCCTGCCAGCGGGTGACAACTTCTTTTTTTATTGTGCTCCTGAGTTGTCACCCTGCCACCTGATGAAGACTGCCAACGCACAACACCGTTGTCACTATCAGGAAGCCGGTGCAGAGCAGCTGACAAGTGCATGTAGACAGGAAGTGGCTGCAAAGAGGCTGCAGGAGATGCAACAAAGGGTGAAAAAAGGTGAAAACAGTATTTTGCGGAAACAAATCCTGGCAGTTGATCTCAAGTCACCGCGCCGAACTCCTCCTTCAGACGTTGGAGGTGACTGTGAGCACCAAACGCTGATCAGAGCACATTTTGCTGCGTCTCGGTGGTAATCCGGCGTATAAAGTTCTAACGGGCGATTCATGTGATGAGACGATGAGAGGAAGTCGTCTATAATTCCTCTTCTTCCCTCCGCCGCCCGGAAAGCCCGTTCTTTGTAGTGAATGTCACATTGGGCTGAGCTCGTTACTGCCATCCGAACGGTTCCCGTAATCCGTTAAACTTTAATGCGCCGCGATTGTATTTATCTGCCAATTTCTCGTTTCTGAAAGTATGAAACGGGTAATTATCTGCGCTTAGCCAACATGCGAGAGCGGCGACTAATGCGCAGGCTTACAGATTAATTGTGCACAAAGTACAGCGTGGGTATTACCGGCATCCCGACTGAAACAGACGAATGACAACAACTACCTACCCCAGGCAACCTACACACTCCATCTATAGTGGACCTACAAGTCCCAGAGGAAGATGGATGATGGGAGATGTAGCCGGAGCGCTGAGGTTTCCTACCTCCAACCCACATTATATGGATTGTGGACTCTTCACTTACATCTATAGATTGGACATCCGTTCCAAAACTGTGGCCCTTAATATGGCGACCCCTTCTCTTGTGGGCATAACAGCCAACACTCTTCTGGGAAGGCTTTCCATAAGGTTTTGTGACCATTTGTGACCAGGTCAGGACTGTACAGGACCCTCGAGTTCCTCCACACCACACTGGTCAAACCAAGATTTTATGGAGCTGGACATCTCATGCCAAGAATCGTGGCCATTAATATGTAGTTGCCTCTCTTCCCCTATAGTCACTATTATGGATTGGAGGGTGTCTGTGGGAATTTGTGACCATTTGTGAAGTCTGAAGGGGAGGAGCCGATACACCTGTGCAAGACTGAAGGGGGAGGAGCCGGTACACCTGTGCAAGACTGAAGGGGGAGGAGCCGGTACACCTGTGAAGGGGAGGAGCCGGTACACCTGTGCAAGACTGAAGGGGAGGAGCCGGTACACCTGTGCTGAAGGGGAGGAGCCGGACTGAAGACTGAAGGGGAGGAGCCGGTACACCTGTGCAAGACTGAAGGGGAGGAGCCGGTACACCTGTGCAAGACTGAAGGGGAGGAGCCAGTACACCTGTGCAAGACTGAAGGGGAGGAGCCGGTACACCTGTGCAAGACTGAAGGGGAGGAGCCGGTACACCTGTGCAAGACTGAAGGGGAGGAGCCGGTACACCTGTGCAAGAGTGAAGGGGAGGAGTCGGTACACCTATGCAGACTGAAGGGGAGGAGCTGATACACCTGTGCAAGAGTGAAGGGGAGGAGCCGATATACCTGTGCAAGAGTGAAGGGGAGGAGTCGGTACACCTGTGCAGACTGAAGTGGGGGGGCTCGGTGTCCTGTTGGGAAGATTCCGGCGCGGCTCTTCTCCCGCACTGATTGAATCTCTCCAGCGGTGACTAAGTCTTCTCCCGCGATGAACAATGCAGAAAGCTGACAGGTGGGATTACCGGCCTCTCCGGCAGGGAAGGGATTATCGGAGGAATGTATTAGTTTAAGAAGCCACTTACGCTGCGTTGATGTGCTGTAATGTCCGGCGGGACGCGGAGCGGAACCCTCTGCAGATTATGAAGAGCGTGGCCCCGGATCAGCGCTTGGCCCCGATCCGTATACAACGTGAATTATTTAGGTGTCGTCATTCTGTAGAACGCAGCTTCATCGGGCCGGCCGGGCTGCAGCAGTGCAGAGGAGAGCAGGAGCTATGAGCAGCTAAATACTGCAGGAAATACACAAAAAATGTGAAGTCAGTGTGGCCCGGCAAAGGATCTGGAGTGCTGTCCATCCAGTTCTGAGATGTACACAGCTCTGCCACATAGTACAGTCTTGTCTGGCAGGACAGGAGACCCAATTATCCTCTGTTGAAGTTCAGTAACAATTACAGGTCTAGCCCTCCCCCAGCCTGTGATTGGGCAGTTAAAGGAGACGTAGCAGACTGATGAGCTCATTTCTCTGCTCTCTCCTCCTATCAGCATGAATTCTGTCAGCACATGAACTGATTGTCTCTCTGTGCTGCTTCTCTATCTCATAGCCTGAGCTCTGCTCTAGAAGGACTGCAAGAGGCTGATACCAGGTCACACTCAGGTCCTTGTTCACAATGGTAGGTGTGGCCAAATTGAAGTAACAGTAGGAGGAGCTTATTAAAGGGGCAATAAATACCAGGAGTGCATTATGTGTAGAGTGGCGGATTTAGGGGCATGCTATGTACAGAGTGCAGGGTTCAGGAGTGTGCTATGTACAGAGTGCAGGGTTCAGGGGTGTGCTGTGTACAGAGTTCGGGGTTCAGGGTGCGCTGTGTACAGAGTGCAGGGTTCAGGGGTGTGCTGTGTACACAGTGCAGGGTTCAGAGAGTGTGCTGTGTACAAAGTGCAGGGTTCAGGAGTGTGCTGTGTACAGAGTGCAGGGTTCAGGAGTGTGCTGCTGTGTACAGTGCAGGGTTCAGAGTGTGCGCTGTGTAAAGAGTGCAGGGTTCAGGGGTGTGCTGTGTACAGAGAGTGCAGGGTTCAGGGTGTGCTGTGTACAGAGTGCAGGGTTCAGGGTGTGCTGTGTACAGAGTGCAGGGTTCAGGGGTGTGCTGTGTACAGAGTGCAGGGTTCAGGGGTGTGCTGTGTACAGAGTGCAGGGTTCAGGGGTGTGCTGTGTACAGAGTGCAGGGTTCAGGGGTGCGCTGTGTACAGAGTGCAGGGTTCAGGGTTCAGGGGTGTGCTGTGTGTGTACAGAGTGCAGGGTTCAGAGGTGTGCTGTGTACAGAGTGCAGGGTTCAGGGGTGTGCTGTGTACAGAGTGCAGGGTTCAGGGGTGTGCTGTGTACAGAGTGCAGGGTTCAGGGGTGTGCTGTGTACAGAGTGCAGGGTTCAGGAATGTGCGCTATGTACAGAGTGCGGGGTTCAGGAATGTGCTGTGTACAGAGTGCAGGGTTCAGGGGTGTGCTGTGTACAGAGTGCAGGGTTCAGAGTGTGCTATGTACAGAGTGCAGGGTTCAGGAGTGTGCTGTGTACAGAGTGCAGGGTTCAGGGGTGCGCTGTGTACAGAGTGCAGGGTTCAGGGGTGCGCTGTGTACAGAGTGCAGGGTTCAGGGGTGTGCTGTGTACAGAGTGCAGGGTTCAGGGTGTGCTGTGTACAGAGTGCAGGGTTCAGGGGTGTGCTGTGTACAGAGTGCAGGGTTCAGGGGTGTGCTGTGTACAGAGTGCAGGGTTCAGGGGTGTGCTGTGTACAGAGTGCAGGGTTCAGGGGTGCGCTGTGTACAGAGTGCAGGGTTCAGGGTGTGCTATGTACAGAGTGCAGGGTTCAGAGGTGTGCTGTGTACAGAGTGCAGGGTTCAGGAGTGTGCTGTGTACAGAGTGCAGGGTTCAGGAGTGTGCTGTGTACAGAGTGCAGGGTTCAGAGGTGTGCTGTGTACAGAGTGCAGGGTTCAGAGGTGTGCTGTGTACAGAGTGCAGGGTTCAGGGGTGTGAAGTGTACAGAGTGCAGGGTTCAGAGGTGTGCTGCTGTGTACAGAGTGCAGGGTTCAGGGGTGTGCTGTGTACAGAGTGCAGGGTTCAGGAGTGTGTGTGTGTACAGAGTGCAGGGTTCAGGAGTGTGCTGTGTACACAGAGTGCAGGGTTCAGGAGTGTGCTGTGTACAGAGTGCAGGGTTCAGGAGTGTGCTGTGTACAGAGTGCAGGGTTCAGGAGTGTGTGCTGTGTACAGAGTGCAGGGTTCAGGAGTGTGCTGTGTACAGAGTGCAGGGTTCAGGAGTGTGTACAGAGTGCAGGGTTCAGAGGTGTGCTGTGTACAGAGTGCAGGGTTCAGAGGTGTGCTGTGTACAGAGTGCAGGGTTCAGAGTGTGCTGTGTACAGAGTGCAGGGTTCAGGAGTGTGCTGTGTACAGAGTGCAGGGTTCAGGAGTGTGCTGTGTACAGAGTGCAGGGTTCAGGAGTGTGCTATGTGTACAGAGTGCAGGGTTCAGGAGTGTGCTGTGTACAGAGTGCAGGGTTCAGAGTGTGTGCTGTGTACAGAGTGCAGGGTTCAGGAGTGTGCTGTGTACAGAGTGCAGGGTTCAGAGGTGTGCTGTGTACAGAGTGCAGGGTTCAGGAGTGTGCTGTGTACAGAGTGCAGGGTTCAGGAGTGTGCTGTGTACAGAGTGCAGGGTTCAGAGGTGTGCTGTGTACAGAGTGCAGGGGTTCAGGAGTGTGCTGTGTACAGAGTGCAGGGTTCAGGAGTGTGCTGTGTACAGAGTGCAGGGTTCAGGAGTGTGCTGTGTACAGAGTGCAGGGTTCAGAGTGTGTGCTGTGTACAGAGTGCAGGGTTCAGGAGTGTGCTGTGTACAGAGTGCAGGGTTCAGGAGTGTGCTGTGTACAGAGTGCAGGGTTCAGGAGTGTGCTGTGTACAGAGTGCAGGGTTCAGAGGTGTGCTGTGTACAGAGTGCAGGGTTCAGGAGTGTGCTGTGTACAGAGTGCAGGGTTCAGGGTGTGTGCTGTGTACAGAGTGCAGGGTTCAGGAGGTGTGCTGTGTACAGAGTGCAGGGTTCAGGAGTGTGCTGTGTACAGAGTGCAGGGTTCAGGGGTGTGCTGTGTACAGAGTGCAGGGTTCAGGGGTGTGCTGTGTACAGAGTGCAGGGTTCAGGAGAGTGTGCTGTGTACAGAGTGCAGGGTTCAGGGGTGTGCTGTGTACAGAGTGCAGGGTTCAGGGAGTGTGCTGTGTACAGAGTGCAGGGTTCAGGGTGTGCTGTGTACAGAGTGCAGGGTTCAGGGGTGTGCTGTGTACAGAGTGCAGGGTTCAGAGGTGTGCTGTGTACAGAGTGCAGGGTTCAGAGGTGTGCTGTGTACAGAGTGCAGGGTTCAGGGTGTGCTGTGTACAGAGTGCAGGGTTCAGAGGTGTGCTGTGTACAGAGTGCAGGGTTCAGGGTGTGTGCTGTGTACAGAGTGCAGGGTTCAGGAGTGTGCTGTGTACAGAGTGCAGGGTTCAGGAGTGTGCTGTGTACAGAGTGCAGGGTTCAGGGGTGTGCTGTGTACAGAGTGCAGGGTTCAGGAGTGTGCTGTGTACAGAGTGCAGGGTTCAGGGTGTGCTGGTGTACAGAGTGCAGGGTTCAGGGTGTGCTGTGTACAGAGTGCAGGGTTCAGAGGTGTGCTGTGTGCAGAGTGCAGGGTTCAGGAGTGTGCTGTGTACAGAGTGCAGGGTTCAGGAGTGTGCTGTGTACACAGAGTGCAGGGTTCAGAGTGTGCTGTGTACAGAGTGCAGGGTTCAGGGTGTGCTGCTATGTACAGAGTGCAGGGTTCAGGAGTGTGCTGTGTACAGAGTGCAGGGTTCAGGAGTGTGCTGTGTACAGAGTGCAGGGTTCAGGAGTGTGCTGTGTACAGAGTGCAGGGTTCAGAGGTGTGCTGTGTACAGAGTGCAGGGTTCAGGAGGTGCTGTGTACAGAGTGCAGGGTTCAGGAGTGTGTGTGCTATGTACAGAGTGCAGGGTTCAGGGGAATGTGCTATGTACAGAGTGCAGGGTTCAGAGGTGTGCTGTGTACAGAGTGCAGGGTTCAGAGGTGTGCTGTGTACAGAGTGCAGGGTTCAGGGGTGTGCTGTGTACAGAGTGCAGGGTTCAGAGGTGTGTGTGTGTACAGAGTGCAGGGTTCAGGGGTGTGCTGTGTACAGAGTGCAGGGTTCAGGAGTGTGTGCTGTGTACAGAGTGCAGGGTTCAGAGGTGTGCTGTGTACAGAGTGCAGGGTTCAGGGGTGTGCTGTGTACAGAGTGCAGGGTTCAGGGGTGTGCTGTGTACAGAGTGCAGGGTTCAGGAGTGTGCTGTGTACAGAGTGCAGGGTTCAGGGTGTGCTGTGTACAGAGTGCAGGGTTCAGGGGTGTGCTGTGTACAGAGTGCAGGGTTCAGGGTGTGATGTGTACAGAGTGCAGGGTTCAGGAGTGTGCTGTGTACAGAGTGCAGGGTTCAGGGTGTGCTGTGTACAGAGTGCAGGGTTCAGGGGTGTGCTATGTACAGAGTGCAGGGTTCAGGAGTGTGCTGTGTACAGAGTGCAGGGTTCAGGGGGTGTGCTATGTACAGAGTGCAGGGTTCAGGGTGTGTGCTGTGTACAGAGTGCAGGGTTCAGGAGTGTGCTGTGTACAGAGTGCAGGGTTCAGGAGTGTGCTGTGTACAGAGTGCGGGGTTCAGAGGGGTGCTGTGTACAGAGTGCAGGGTTCAGGGGTGTGCTATGTACACAGAGTGCAGGGTTCAGGAGTGTGCTGTGTACAGAGTGCAGGGTTCAGGGGTGTGCTATGTACAGAGTGCAGGGTTCAGGAGTGTGCTGTGTACAGAGTGCAGGGTTCAGAACGTGTGTGCTGTGTACAGAGTGCAGGGTTCAGGAGTGTTCTGTGTACAGAGTGCAGGGTTCAGGAGTGTGCTGTGTACAGAGTGCAGGGTTCAGGGGGTGCGTGTGTGCAGAGTGCAGGGTTCATGTGTTCTGTGTACAGAGTGCAGGGTTCAGGAGTGTGCTGTGTACAGAGTGCAGGGTTCAGGGGTGTGCTGTGTACAGAGTGCAGGGTTCAGAGGTGTGTGCTGTGTACACAGTGCAGGGTTCAGGAGTGTGCTGTGTACAGAGTGCAGGGTTCAGGAGTGTGCTGTGTACAGAGTGCAGGGTTCAGGGGTGTGCTGTGTACAGAGTGCAGGGTTCAGGAGTGTGCTGTGTACAGAGTGCAGGGTTCAGGAGTGTGCTGTGTACAGAGTGCAGGGTTCAGGAGTGTGCTGTGTACAGAGTGCAGGGTTCAGGAGTGTGCTGTGTACAGAGTGCAGGGTTCAGAGGGTGTGCTGTGTACAGAGTGCAGGGTTCAGGAGTGTGCTGTGTACAGAGTGCAGGGTTCAGAGGTGTGCTGTGTACAGAGTGCAGGGTTCAGGGGTGTGCTGTGTACAGAGTGCAGGGTTCAACGTGTGCTGTGTACAGAGTGCAGGGTTCAGGAGGTGCTGTGTACAGAGTGCAGGGTTCAGGAGTGTGCTGTGTACACTGAACGCTATCTAGGGTCACTATAAAGCCTGGAGGACTACAAGGCCCAGCAATGCTCTAATGCCGGTGTGGTGGGGTGGATGCATGCAGACAGGAAGTGGCTGGAAACGTGCTGCAGAAACAAAAAAGCCAATTGTCTATAATACGCCATGTTTAGCAAACAAAATGGCGGCTGGTTGGGGCCCCCATTTGTGCTTTGTGTTGTGGTAAGGTGTGTATTGCCGTAATGCACAGCAACGTGCTTCACATGCGCCGGGCGTGGCAGAGCCATGCATTTTCACGTTGCAGAGTGCCGCAGCACACAGTAGTGCTTTTTTGCAGTGCGTTGGCTTTGAACAAATGCAACAAATCTGATTTCATTTTACTTGAACACGCGACCATTAACGCATGGCAGCAACGTGTGCGTCCCGCAGGACCTCCATGTGCATTCATTGGCCCCGCAGGCAACGTGTGCGTCCCGCAGGACCTCCATGTGCATTCATTGGCCCCGCAGCAACGTGTGCGTCCCGCAGGACCTCCATGTGCATTCACTGGCCCCGCGGCAACGTGTGCGTCCCGCAGGACCTCCATGTGCATTCACTGGCCCCGCGGCAATGTGTGTCCCGCAGGACCTCCATGTGCATTCATTGGCCCCGCAGCAACGTGTGCGTCCCGCAGGACCTCCATGTGCATTCACTGGCCCCGCGGGCAACGTGTGCGTCCCGCAGGACCTCCATGTGCATTCATTGGCCCCGCGGCAACGTGTGCGTCCCGCAGGACCTCCATGTGCATTCATTGGCCCCGCAGCAACGTGTGCGTCCCGCAGGACCTCCATGTGCATTCACTGGCCCCGCGGCAACGTGTGCGTCCCGCAGGACCTCCATGTGCATTCACTGGCCCCGCGGCAACGTGTGCGTCCCGCAGGACCTCCATGTGCATTTATTGGCCCCGCGGCAACGTGTGCGTCCCGCAGGACCTCCATGTGCATTCATTGGCCCCGCGGCAACGTGTGCGTCCCGCAGGACCTCCATGTGCATTCACTGGCCCCGCGGCAACGTGTGCGTCCCGCAGGACCTCCATGTGCATTCATTGGCCCCGCAGCAACGTGTGCGTCCCGCAGGACCTCCATGTGCTTTGCACTGGCCCGTTGGCTTTGAACAAATGCAACAAATCGTGTGATTTCATTTTACTTGAACCGCGACCTCCATGTGCATTAACGCATGGCAGCAACGTGTGTGTGCGTCCCGCAGGACCTCCATGTGCATTCATTGGCCCCGCAGCGGCAACGTGTCCGTCCCGCAGGACCTCCATGTGCATTCATTGGCCCCCCGCAGCAACGTGTGCGTCCCGCAGGACCTCCATGTGCATTCACTGGCCCCGCGGCAACGTGTGCGTCCCGCAGGACCTCCATGTGCATTCACTGGCCCCGCGGCAACGTGTGCGTCCCGCAGGACCTCCATGTGCATTCATTGGCCCCGCGGCAACGTGTGCGTCCCGCAGGACCTCCATGTGCATTCACTGGCCCCGCGGCAACGTGTGCGTCCCGCAGGACCTCCATGTGCATTCATTGGCCCCGCGGCAACGTGTGCGTCCCGCAGGACCTCCATGTGCATTCACTGGCCCCCGCGGCAATGTGTGCGTCCCGCAGGACCTCCATGTGCATTCATTGGCCCCCCGCGGCAACGTGTGCGTCCCGCAGGACCTCCATGTGCATTCATTGGCCCCCCGCGGCCCGGACCCCAGAACTCCGCCTTGTCACGTCGCATTGATTGCGGACTTTATTGGGGATATAAATAGTAAGAATAGAATATTAATGAGTATTAATAGTAATGGTGGTGATATTTGTGGCTGCGCAGGCTCGTGGAGTATTTAGGTTGCTCGTGGGACGCCGTGTGCCGTGTTGGGGAAGACAGATTAGATGTAATAACGCTGAGCCCCCAGCTG